ACCGTATCATTTTCATCAGAAAAGTACGAATCTTTGTTTGTAGGCAATACATATGAATCAGAGGCATTAATAAACGCCTCTATTTCTTCCACAAATTTATTAAAATCGCTGTCGCTCAATACGCCGTAAGCAAAAACTGCCACACATAGCGCAATTCCTAAACGAAATGCATACATTTCTTCTATGTGATTTGGCTTAATTTGCTTGCTCGAGTGTCCGAAATATTTTTAAATAAAAGTGGCTCGTAAAAAAAACTACGTTTCCTTTTATATTACCGCTGATAAAACTGTATTAATCAGAAAACAAAGTGAACACACTCTCAAACAAAATAAGCATCTGCTTCTTATCACAAATACCTGAAAAGTCACACCACACAGTTTTTATATCGCATACTTATTTTTGGTAATTTGGTTTAAGTGGATGGAGCTGAAAAACAGGAAGATGTGGTCTGCTTTTATGCATATGGTTTTCTTTGGAGGCTGTAATCAAGTCTCGGGCAAAACTTGAACGGTAAATTAATCTAAAACTTGCGAATAAACATTTTACATCTGTTACGGAAATAAGGAATTATTCTACTAGCTTTTTCTACGTTTTATCAACTTTTATTAAATGGTGTGAAAATAACTAATAATTATGTATTTTTGCGGAAACACATTGGCAATAATTATAAATATATAATAAAATTTATTTTTCTAGTTTAATTTCTTCTGATATAAAAAATGTACGACGAAAGTGTCGGTTGAGCCAATACAAGACAAATTAAACAATTTTTATATTAACAATGTCATCAACCGGCAAGTTCTCCATTTCTTCATATAACTATAATAGGTTACGTAAATTCGCTAGATCTCTGCGTCAGTTTCAGTCTCAAAATGGTTTTCCAAAAATCCCCCGTAATATTTATTATGCTATGTATTGATTTTTGTATTGATGTATCAGGTTTTCGGCCAAATCTAGGACTGCATACTTATCTTCGCGTGATAATTATTGTGTCAAAGGCCAAATAACTTATAATATTAAAGCATTCCCGAAGTGAAACCAACTACACGAGTCCCAATAAACAATAATGTTTGTATGCAGAACAGCAAAATATGGAAAGGAGATCCCGAAAATATTTGTTGCACGGAATATTGAGACAGTTAAACACTCTATTAAAACATATGAGAAAATCAAGCAAACACGTTTAGAAGCCCAGATGGGCGGAGGAAAAATAAAAATCGAAAATCAACATAAAAAAGTAAGTAAGTGCTGGATTTTAAATTTGTTATATACCTATATAGATAATATCTAACATAATTATACACTAATAAAACAACGTTAATTTATCTAACACCAATTTGCATTAGTTTCTATAAATATGTATTTTAGGGGAAATTAACAGCAAGAGAACGAATACATTTATTATGCGATGACAACAGCTTTATTGAGTACGACATGTTCGTGGAGCACACTTGCATAGATTTTGGAATGAAAGAGCGTAAAGTGAGTCCAAAGATTAAAACCATACAATTTGCAATAACTCAAGTGCTTACTCATCTTAAGAGTTATTACGCTTTTTTTGTAATGTTCTTCGTTATTTAAAGCTTTTCATATTTACGGTTGAGTTATTAACATTGAAGCGTTATTTCTTGCTAATACCATAAAAATTAACATAATAATTCTAAAATAAAAATAAATAAAAAAGTAAATAAAAACATAAGAATATTAAGTATATCCATTAACAAAACACATTATGAAACAGTATGATAACTGTGGACGTTTATTCTAAGAAATAAATATAATCAAGGAAATTAAATATGATATGCGATAATTTTCTTTTAAGAATTGGTAAATACTAGAGTAATTCAATACGTTTATTTCAAGTGCTGTATACTTCATTTCTATTATAAGTTCATTTACAAATAGACATTTCAAATTGTATACATTGTACAAATTGCTTCATTTAAATAGCAGTGGAACTTGGAACAGTGAACAACCAAGTATTTTTTGAAGTACACCAAATGATGAAGATAACTTTGTGGTGTCAGTAGGTACACGTTCTTAATTGATGTAGCTTCAACAGAGGCACGATATCAACCAGCTGACGCGGCCATATTAAAAAAATTATAATGTTAAATGAGAACATTTTGATTTTACTTTTTAAAACTTTATCGGAAAGGTCATCATATCGAAGATGATCGAGATCTGGTCATCTTAAATATTCAATTTATTTCTATACGAACCTGCTGATTGGCTCAGAAACAGGGAATATAAGCAATATTATCACCAGCATCAAGATTTTACAATTAACATTATTTGCTATATTTCCCATGTTTTTTAATATTTTTTGCATTAGCATTTTGATGTAATTTTGTAAAATGTATCTATAGGAATGTCTACCAACAAACACTAAGCGGACTTATTCGATCCGTTTTTCTAAAAAAGCTGGAAATAATGCCAGCATTTTTCAAATATTGAGCCAAAACTGACAGTGTCTCGGAGGAGACAGCGTTCTTTTGCATTAAAAATATATTCTGATCGTTTTGTTGTATTTAAAAATATATTTTTCACATTTTCTGACGCCAACTGTTTCGTTGACAAATTAAATTTGAACAGGATGTCTGAAACAGGACTTTGTACAGTTCGTTATTGCGGTAAAATGCTATTAAAAACAAAAATCCCCAGCTTGAAGATAGGAACATTTTTTTAAAACTTCAATTCCTTGATAGCTTTGAACTGAGCACACGACATATAAAAATACTAAAACCACACGCATATTTTAAAACAGCACACTTTAAAACATTCACATAAATTAATTAAAGCACTCGTAAAACATTAAATGTGAAAGTCCTTTTATTCCGTACTATAAGATGTATAACAAATATCTATAATTTATGTGTCAACTCCTCAAATCAACTACAAAAAATCTGTTTTCCACGCTTTTCGTTCGATAGTTGGTAAATTTTGTTCTTTTGGGATAACACTTTGGGATCGGTAAACTAAAATTTTATAATTTGCAATAAATTTGAAAATACATATTTTATATCATTTGAAGGGAGAGAAGAAAGCACAACAAAGTTCGTCTTTAAAATCGGACGTATGTTGAATATGTTGACTAGTATAAGTATGCCACAATATGTTGAAACTAATATACCTACTAAGTACATATAATTTTCCCACTTCAATTGCTTTTCAAGCACACATATTATAATAATTTATTAAGAACGTAAAATATCGTTACAAAATAGCGAAAATATAGATGATAATAATGCATTTCCGATTAAAATCCATTATTTTTGTTAGTTTCCTGGTGATTCAGTAGTAACTGGCCATGGATTGGTGAACGGACGTCCGGTATTTATTTTCAGTCAAGATGCTACTGTTTTTGGGGGATCATTGTCCAGTGCTCATGCACGAAAAATCTGCAAAATTATGGATCAAGCGATTTCTGTAGGAGCCCCTGTGGTTGGTCTTAACGATTCAGGAGGGGCACGGATTCAAGAAGGAGTCGATTCGCTTGCAGGATATGCAGATATTTTTCAAAAAAATGTCCTTGCATCTGGAGTAATTCCACAGGTAGGTATTATACTGGGTTTAGAGTTATTGTTGTACTATATTTTATACATTAATTTAGAGCAATTTGAAACGACATTTGTATGGTGCTCAGAAATTCTATTGCCGAAAAATATGGTCCCGGAAATTCTTGGTCTTCGATACACCATATCCATAAGACGATTTTCCAAATCAATTTAATTAGTGACAATTTTTTTGCTTTACTTTGTTTTGTAAAAAAGTTTTACAAAACTAATATTGAGTTTCTGCAACATTCCTTGCATCACAAAAAGATGAAAAACAAAACTGATCATTCTGTATGTATTTAAATGCGACTTTCTTTTTCTAATTCATGAATTGTTTCCATTTTATTTTGTTGTCCGTATTAACATGTTTTATGAGTTTTTGTAATAGTAGCGCTTTTAAAGAAAGAAACGGAAGAGGAGAACATTATTCCAATTATTTGAACATTTTGACTTGACATAAAAGAACACGTTTACTTAAGAAAGTACCCATCTAAAAGAAAGTAAACGAGACTGGAGTAGAATACTCCTTGCAGATGCAATTAGCAAACTGGATATTTTGGGCCCTAAAATGAATAAACTGATTTTTTCGACAAGATTTTTTCCATACACCTTAATTGAATTGAAATTATTTCCTCAATGGTTTCGACAGAGTTTGATAATAATTTGCCGATTCTAGATGCAACTCAAATAGTTTGAATTTGGAGAATATATTTTAGAAACCCACCAAATTAACATTATATAAGATTTTAATTAAAGTTGTAGAAATCATGAATTAAAATTAGTATCACGAAAATAAGTATCAATTGACTAAGGCACATTTGACAAAACCAGCTGCAAATACCTATAAGTGAAAAATTATATCTATATGAAGTTATACAAGCCTGACCTTTAAGCTTGAATAGAATAGAAATTTAGTGCATTTTAGATATCTTTGATAATGGGCCCTTGTGCCGGCGGTGCAGTTTATTCTCCAGCTATCACCGATTTTACCTTTATGGTTGAAAATACTTCTTGTCTTTTCATAACTGGACCTGATGTGATAAAGGTAATTCTGATAACAGTATGCACAAGACATATACATCCACCACTGTTGGATTTTTCAGACAGCAACAAATGAAGACGTTACATCTCAAGATTTAGGAGGGTCAAAAGTTCACACTGAACTATCCGGAGTGGCACATAGATCGTTTGAGAACGATATCGAGGCCCTTCTTCAATTGAGGGAATTCATGGGATATCTTCCTCAATCGAACAAAGGTCCGGTTCCTATTAGAGTTTGTGAAGATCCATGGTACTTACACCTATGGCTGACTTGTTGCAAAATGAGAACTATCAAATACATGAAGCATTTCTAGGGATAAGGATGTGTTATCTTTGGAATCAACTGTTCCTCCAGTGGCCACGGCTCCTTATGACATGTTGGATGTAATTCTAGCTATTGTTGATGACCGAGACTTTTTTGAAATTATGCCCAAACATGCAAAAAATATTATTGTTGGATTTGCAAGAATGAATGGAAGAACAGTAGGAATTATAGGGAATCAGCCTGATGTTGCAGCAGGCAAGATAATTAGTTATTTAAACCATGTCTACAAAACTCTCCATGCATCATGAACGACTGCGAAAATAAACTTTTAGAACATAAATTCATCTAGCAACAATTAGCTGATATTTTCCATTTTGACTCATTCAGAATAGCACAGCTGTGTTTCTCCTCAAACTACTAACTCACGGAGGTCACATGGAAGAGCTTTCTAATCAATAAAATTAGATGCTAAATTTAAGCAGTTTTATAAATATCCGACAAGTACCTATTCAGAATAATTGAATAGTGATATCGTTAAAAAGAACTACTTAAACCGCCTATTTACAACGCATAGTCGAATATCAATTTAAAGTAGGAACTTTATGATGACTTTCAACTATCTATTGTATCCCGGTGTTGAAATGCCTCACGTGGAATTGGTGCAAAATGGTTTTATCTTAAAAGGATTTTGCCATATGCAAGATAATGCTTGAAAATAGCTGGATACTTCTTTCTACATGACTGAGCGAATTAGAACGCTTTTCGCATATACTTACATATGTTTATGTGTGCTTTGACTGTAAAGTTTCAATTGCGATGCCTCGGTCACTAGTTATACATTATGATCCATATTAACTGTGTCTTTAATGTTTTGTGACACATTATTTTTATTTTTGGGCATGTTCCCTTTTACCAACTGAACTTTTAATGCGCCATGGTTAACCGTTCTTTTACTTCAAAAGCAAAGAGTTCGAGTTTGTGAATATTTATTTTCAGATGCCAACAATGTTTTTAGATAATTTGTGGTAATATTATTTAGGTCTTTGTGGAATAGATAATCTTTGGTCCTATGAAATAATTCGAATAGTCTGGCAAAAACTTGAATGATTTGCGCATTTTGAAAACAGAAAACGCTTTTAGTAGCAAAAAGCTAAAAACTCTTTCTAAGAAGACGAGTTTTCGAAAATAATGTTAAAAATATTTGGATACTGAATAAAACAGGTAATAAAAGAAACAGATAATTATTATAAGATAATAAGACGAAAGTTTTATACGTTATCAAGATATTTTCAGATTATTACGAAATAAGTTGAATATTGCTAAACTTTAGTTCACAAAAGAAACATATTATCTCTTAGCCAACATCAAAAATTCTCAAAATTACAGAATTAATGTAATTACAGAAAAATTGGAATTCTTATGTTGGGTGAAACTAGCATCATTTTGATGCAAATTGCAAGAATTTGTGATAAATATCAAATAGAAAAAAATTGGATAAAAAGTTTCCAGATAAATATGCTGTCTCATAACCACTGTGAACGATGAAAAATATTAATTTCAATTTTTGTTAAAACTAATATAAGATTTGCCGCTGGATGGAAAATATTAACCTAGAGGTACCGCAATTTTCTCTCAGCGCTCATGGTCTGTCACGTTCGGACCTCCGTTGTCCCAACGGAACGCGCTTCTTGCGAGAATTCCTTTTATTGCTTGAGAATTGGAAATAATTAGCAGTTTTAATGCTAAGAATTAATGACGTTATTTTACACCAGAGAATATTTCAGTTTGCTTCGGCTTAACGCTTTACAGAACATGTTTTTCACCAATTTCGTAATGTTGGCAGAGAACTGCGAAGCTAAGAAAAGAAGCAAGAGGATACAACCAAATAAATAAATGAACGCTTGAAGAGTTTACTCATAATTTCGCAATTTTATACGTGATCAAAAAAGTCTTGTTAGTTCTTGAGTACTGATAAGTTATACTCGTCTGATTCTCCAAACGTCCTTCACCTTTTCACGTAGTTTTCTTCAGCTTTTCATTATAGAGGAACAGTAATCTGCGAGATTAAGAAAACTTACAGTCCTGTTTGATTTAAAGGCTAACACAAAATAATTCAGCTTAATTTTCGAATAAAACCTCGTACGGACTAACGCCTTTTTTTAGGATGCTTGGATATCAGTTCTTCTGTAAAAGCAGCACGATTTATAAGATTTTGCGACGCTTTCAATATTTCCATAATCACATTGGTGGATGTACCCGGATTTCTACCCGGAGTACAACAAGAGCACAATGGCTGTATACGTCACGGTGCTAAACTATTGTTTGCTTACGCAGAGGCGACAGTTCCAAAACTAACGGTCATAACAAGAAAGGTAGAAATCGCGGTTTTAAACTAAAAGGGAAAGTGATTTGATGTTCTGATCGGTTAATTCTTTAGGCTTATGGGGGGGCCTATATTACTTCGTCATCCAAGCACCTAAGAGGAGATGTAAATTATGCCTGGCCATCAGCTGAAGTGGCGGTGATGGGAGCGAAAAGTGCAGCAGCAGTTCTCTACAAAGGAAGACCCAACTTGGAAGAGCTCGAGAAAGAATACATTGAAAAGTTTGCCAGTCCCTTTCCAGCAGCTCAGAAAGGTATTTAAAATCACTCATGAATATACATCGTATATTCATCATCAGTCAAAAAACGCAGACAACTCTCAAACTAGACATGCTTTCTAAACAATAGTATGAAATATAACTAACACCATCAAGAAAATCATCGATATTCATGCCACTTGCACTCCACGTAAAGAAACAATTTTTAACAGAAACTTAGAAATGACTCAGTACCGAATTGCAATTTAATCCGGGAACAAATGTCCAGAATAGGTCAAAAAGGATAAGAAAAAAATGAAGTTTGATGAACTGTAATTCGGAAAATATTCCGATTTCGAATTTTTGACTCACTAATATTATTTTACCCTGTAGACTCACCCTTGACAAATTCCTAACGCATTTTGCGAACACCCTGTATTTCTCCAAAGTCTAGCAAAACTCAAGTTGATCATAGCATGTAAATCGTCAATTGCAGTTGGCACCGATAAAACTATCCAGTCTCCAGGCAGGTCATTGATTTTAACATATATCAAGTTTTAATTAATTTTAACATATAACAATGTTCTAACTTATATTTCAGGGTTTGTTGATGATATTATCGAACCAAAAACAACCAGGCGGCGATTGTGCCGAGATTTGGACTTACTGGCAACTAAACAGCTGACAAATCCTCCGAAGAAGCATGGAAATATACCACTTTAGAGTTACACATTAGCTAGCATGTTTTGTTAATTTAACAAACATTGGATTTATGAGGAAAACTACCAAAGAAAAATGACAAATTTTGCCCTTAAAGAAACCTGAGAAATTATATTCCTTGAGAAATTCTTTTCAATGCCGTTCAAAATTGTTATATTACGCATAACAATTAACATAGTAATGTTATTCTTGCTAATAAAAAGAATATATTTTTAATTGTGAGTTTTTGATTGATGAACATATGTATATATTAAATCTAAACTAGTCACTAGTCAAATTTGATCAAATAATGCAGATTTTAAGAAAAACAGCCAGAATTTCAAAGACTTTACGACATCTAGAAATGTAGCAAGCTTTTACAAGGGGTACTTTTTACTATAATAACAATAACAATGGATGTAAAAATATAATAGGCTCACGAACAGAAAGCAATTTTAAGAAAAAATCATTATTCTGGAAGAGGCGAGTGGGAAGTCGGAACGGAGAATAATTGGAAAAAAGGAGCAAATTAGATTTTCAAAGTAAATCATCAAATTCAAAAGTAATCTCAATAAATAGTTGTCATAAAAACTTATATTCCAATGAACTCAACCAATCGAATGATACTGTCGCGTAGATTCCCCCTCCATTCGCTCGAGTTGCGAGCAGAGGGCGCCTCTGTCTCCTCTTGTGGAGAGCGGGAATCACGACCTTGTCCCTGCATGACAAGGTGATGGATGCGCACAATGAAACCAAAATTTAAACAAAAAAAATTATTCTAATGGTTCGGCGCGTAGGGATGCCAGGTACTTGTTTAGGGTAGTACCCCCCTGTTTCAGTGTCCTTAATGCGCGCCACACATGAATAAGTCCAAAAAAAAAAAACTTAAATACAAAAAAACCAACCAATCACAACAAAGAAAAAGGTACCTCGTAAAACCAAAAAAAAAACTGGTGAGTCTTGTCACTGATGTGTCGCGCACAGTCACCTTCCGCGAGTCGAGTTTCTAGGGGCTAGGATGCCCCGGAAAAAACAGGATTAGGTTTTAAAAAAAAAACAATGGCCGCTTCGCGTGGCGTTGAGTGGGCGTCCCGGAACCAAAAAACGAAAGGGCCCAAACACTCGTCCTGCCGTTTAGCACACTCCTCTGGC